AGGTGATACTATTACCTATGAAAAATGATAGAATGATATGAAAAGTAATAGGAATCTATAATAACAAATTCAACATGCCAGCATTGTTTAAGTATATGTATAGCCTATACATCCTTAAGTGAAACATGAGGTAAACGCAGACGATGACAGTGTTACCGTTTACTTTTTGGAATGGCAGTCGACAACAGTTTTCTGCCGTGAAATTGAGAACCACCACCGGCGTCGGTGGGCTAGACGATAGGTTACGCGGTGGAGGGATCGCGTTACAGAAGCCGTCGACCTAGCTCGGTGCTTTAAAAGAAAACCTGTTCGCGAAGATGCGGCGAGTTGCATCTTCCTCCTCGATTCACTGCGCAAGAAACGGGATTGCCAATTAATTTCTCACGTTTCCGAGGGAAACAGATATCGCACCGTAATATTCATGGGAAAACGTCGTTTCCACGCAATATACACTTATTACTGTGTTTGTCTCTTTTCATAAAAGTTCATTTAAGTTCATTCTTAGATATTTGTAGCCATCTAAATTTACTGGCAACTAGATTTTCTTAAAGCTGGCTACAGGCGTACTTCTATTAATATTCAGACACAAAATAGAATAACTAAAATGTGAATGCTCTTTAGTTAGACTGCGGAATTTCGGACTGCTGCATTTATGGCAAAACTGAGTACTTGAAAAATGAAAGAAAAATACACAATGGACAAGAATGTATAAATAAGAAAATGCTGAAAATCTGAAACTTAAAAACTTGCAAGTCAAAGTATGATAAGAATAAGTTAGAATTTCCAGTCGATATTCACAATTAAAAGTCGGAGCGTTAAGGGTTAAACCTTTGGAAAAAATCTTACAGCTCATACAACCTTAAAAGATTAAACGATATTCTCACTAAATATCAATTATTAAATTGGTAGCCTATTATACTATGCATCAAGTCCGCTGTCTACTTGTCAGTCTTTTAATTTAATACACCGGAGACATGAATCATTTTGGTAGACTTGAATAAAATGTTCATACAGTTGGTTGTTGCACGTTGCATTTTGCTAGTGATACTTGTACGTACAAGCATGCATAATTGAAATTCAATCAATCTCCAAGTCGCTTGTATAATTTAAACGCTTGCGCAAATTTATCATACAGGTGGTCGAGTGTGCTTGTATAAAAAGATTGATCATGCATGCTTGTCAAGCTTGCAGTTAAGTCTACAACTACCTTAACCGTGATGATACTTTGTAAATAAAGAGCAGCTTGAAATCTAACAAAGTTTGTAGCTCGGGATTGACTTGTATCCGTGTTATATCGCCGTATCAACGCAGATACGTTACATCGTTATGTGTCATACCTTTATTATTAGTACGACCGTATCATTGAATCATACGCAGAAGTGTTCTAGACCGAAAGCTCGAAGACTTGTAACACATGTTAAAATACACGTTACTATTTCTATGAAGAACGACAGTAATTCCTGCGACGGAATTAAATGTGCCATCAGGAAGTGAAACCTAGTGAGCGTACTTTCATCAACGGGCATGCGTCAACTTAATCATCATCCCAGGCGAATGACATCGGACTCAGGAATTTCTTCATCAACGGCGTCGCGTCGCGATTCGTTGGAAACGTCGATCCCACCCATGGATCAATAATTTCAAGCAAGACGAATCACGCCCGTCGACGAAGAATCTTAATGAATCGAAGAGGAAAATGACCCTATTTCCACTGAACATGGTGAAAACTGAGGATCGCAGTCGATGATCGATGCCTACAGTCAGCGAATTGATTGATTGATTGATCAATGAATAAATAGAAATAGGAGTCATTAGACTGCAGAGGAAAAATATGAATTATTAGACTATATAAAATATTAGAATGCATATTATATTACATACATTATTATAGCTCTTGAATAATTTCATGCATTACATTTAGAATTTATAATTCCTGCATATCTAATTAATAAATAAATTAAATT